AAAGCTATTTATGACAAACCAACAGCCAATATCATACTTAATGGGTAAAAACTGGAAGCATTCCCTTTGAAATTTGGCACTAGATAAGGATGCCCTCTCTCACACCTCTATTCAATATAGTAGTGGAAGTTCTAGCCAGAGCAATCAGGCAAGAAAAAGAAATAAAGGGTATTCAAATAGGAAAGGAGGAAGACAAATTGTCTCTCTTCGCAGACGACATGATAGTATACCTAGAAGACCCCATCGTCTCAGCCCAAAAACTTCTGACACTGATAAGCAATATCAGCAAAGTCTCAGGATACAAAATCAATGTACAAAAATCACAAGCATTCCTATACACCAATAACAGACTTAAAGAGAGCCAAATCAAGAATGAACTGCCATTCACAATTGCTACAAAGAGAATAAAATACCTAGGAATACAAGTTACAAGGAACGTAAGGGACCTCTTCAAGGAGAACTACAAACCACTGCTCAACGAAATAAGAGAGGACACAAACAGATGGAGAAACATTCCATGTTCATGGTTAGGAAGAATCAATATCGTAAAAATGGCTGTACTGCCAAAAGTAATTTACAAAATCAACACTATCCCCATCAAGCTACCATTGACTTTCTTCACAGAACTGGAAAAAATCACCTTGAACTTCATATGGAACCAAAAGAGAGCCCACATAGCCAAGTCAATCCTAAGCAAAAAGAACACAGCGGGAGGCATCACACTACCAGACTTCAAACTATACTACAAGGCTACAGTAATCAAAACAGCATGTTACTGGTACCAAAACAGAGATATAGACCAATGGAACAGAAAAGAGGCATTGGAGGCAACACAGCATATCTACAACTATACAATATTTGATAAACCTGCCAAAAACAAGCAATGGGGAAAGGATTCCCTGTTTAATAAATGGTGTTGGGAAAACTGGCTAGCCATGTGCAGAAAGCAGAAACTGGACCCCTTCCTGACTCCTTACACTAAAATTAACTCCAGATGGATTAAAGACTTAAACATAAAACCTGGCACCATAAAAACCCTAGAAGAAAATCTAGGCAAAACCATTCAGGACATAGGAGTAGGCAAGGACTTCATGAACAAAACACCAAAAGCATTGGCAACAAAAGCCAAAATAGACAAATGGGACCTAATCAAACTCCACAGCTTCTGCACGGCAAAAGAAACAGTCACTAGAGTGACTCGGCAACCAACAGAATGGGAAAAAATTTTTGCAGTCTACCCATCTGACAAAGGGCTGATATCCAGAATTTACAAAGAACTCAAACAGATTTACAGGAAAAAAACAAACAAGCCCATTCAAAAATGGGCAAAGGATATGAACAGACACTTTACAAAAGAAGACATACATGAGGCCAACAAACATATGAAAAAATGCTCATCATCACTGGTCATCAGAGAGATGCAAATCAAAACCACATTGAGATACCATCTCACACCAGTTAGAATGGCGATCATTAAAAAATCTGGAGACAACAGATGCTGGAGAGGATGTGGAGAAATAGGAACACTTTTACACTGCTGGTGGGAGTGTAAATTAGTTCAACCATTGTGGAAGACAGTGTGGTGATTCCTCAAGGACCTAGAAATAGAAATTCCATTTGACCCAGCAATCCCATTACTGGGTATATATCCAAAGGACTATCAATCAGTCTACTATAAGGACACATGCACGTGAATGTTCATTGCAGCACTGTTTATAATAGCAAAGACCTGGAACCAATCCAAATGCCCATTGATGATAGACTGGTCTGGGAAAATGTGGCACATATACACCATGGAATATTATGCAGCAGTAAAAAATGATGAGTTAGTGTATTTTGTAGGGACATGGATGAATCTGGAGAACATCATTCTCAGCAAACTGACGCAAGAACAGAAAATGAAACACCACATATTCTCACTCATAGGTGGGTGATGAACAATGAGAACACATGGACACAGGGAGGGCAGTACTACATGCTGGGGTCTATTGGGAGGAATAGGGGAGGGACAATTGGGGTGGGGTAGCTGGGGAGGGATAGCATGGGGAGAAATTTCAAATGTGGGTGAAGGGGAGGAAGGCAGCAAAACACACTGCCATGTGTGTACCTATGCAACTATCTTTCATATTCTGCACATGTACCCCAAAACCTAACACGCTATAAAAAATTAAAAAATAAAAAAGTAATAAAAATAAACTAAGAGAAAAAAATTAAAAAAATAAAATAAGTCAAAAGACCCCAACTCCAAGATGATGCAGATGTTGCAATTAGTAGACAGAGACTTTAAAGCAGCTATTATGAATATGTTTAAGAACTCAGAGGAAGATATATTCATAATGAACAGATGGGAAATATAATTAGAGAAATCAAACCTACAAAAGAGAACAAAATGAAAATTTTAGAGCAGAAAAATACTATAACTAAAATGAAAAATTTACTAAATGGGTTTAATAGCAGATTGAAGATGGTAGAGGAAAGTCAATAAACATAAAACTAGAACAATAGAAATTACACAAGCTGAGAAATGGAGAGGAAAATATTGAATAAAAAGAAACAAAGCTTTAGAGACCTGTGTAAAGATATTAAGCAGTCTAATATATGTGTAATTGGAGACGCAGAAGAAGAGACAAAGAATGGGGCAGAAAAACTAAATGAAGACATATTGGATGAAAACTACCAAAACGGAATAGATAATTCAAAATAGACTCACAATGATACAGTCAACTGATTTTTGATAAAGACACTGAAATGATTCAATAGAAAATAGTTTTTCAGCTTGCTGGCGCAGTAGCTCATGCCTGTAATCCCAGCACTGGGAGGCCAAGGCAGATGGATCACTTGAGGTCACAAATTTGAGACCAGCCTGGCCAACGTGGTGAAACTCCATCTCTACTACAAATACAAAAATTATCTAGACATAGTGGTGTGGGGGCTCATGTACATGTAATCACAGCTACTCAGGAGGCTAAGGCAGGAGAATTGCTTGCACCTAGGAGGTGGAGTTGCAGTGAGCCTAGATCAGGCCACTGCACTCAAGCCTGGGTGACAGAGTGAGACTCCATCTTTAAAAACAACAACAAACATATTTTTAACTACTGTGCTCAGTCAACTGAATATCTATGGGGGAAAAAAATGAACTCCAAACCCTTATCTCACCATACAAAACAAATAACAAATAGATGTAAAATTAAAAGCAAAAATTGAAAAGATTTTTGAAGAAAATAGGAAGATATTTTCTGAAGTTGAAAATTTTTTAGATATTGAAAACAATAATTATAAAAGGAAGTAACTAATAAACCAGATATCAAAATTAAAAACGTTTGCTCATCGAGGTAACTGTTACATAAATAAACAGGCAAGACAGAAACTGGGGAGACATATTATCTCATGCATAGACAAACCACCCAAAGAAACCAGATTAAAATTAAGAAGTTTGATTTTTCAAAGGGTAATAAAAATTGTTTCACATATATAATTGTCAAATAATTAGCACACAGAATCCATTTAAAAATGTCTCAAGAACCACCCAAACATCCATTAAAATGAATAAACTACAAGAAGATAAAGAACTAGAAATGAAGAAAACCATAAAACAAAACCCTTAACCTCATTCATGGGTAAATGCTAATTGAAACCATAAGGAAATATTTCGTATTCAATAAATTGGCAAAAATTAAACAGTTTGACTATTCAAATTTGGCAAGGATGTGACTTCAATCAGAACTCTTATACACAGTATGTAAAAATGAAAATTGGTGCCATTTTTTAAACTTAGAATTACCCAGTTTACTTAAAAATACATATAACTTTTGACCCAGCAACTCTCTTCCTTGATATACACCTGCAGAAACTCTGGTCCATACCACCAGGAGACATGCATAGGAATATTAATCCTAGCACTTTCTGTGGTTAAAAAATAATATTGGAAACAATCCAAATGTTCATCAACAATAGAATGGATACTATATTGCTGAATAAATGTGATACTATATACCAGTAGAAATAAATGAACTATAGCAATATACAGCAACATAAATGAATCTCAGGAATATGAAACTGAACAGACAAAAAAGCAGGGCAAAGAAATATACAGTATAATTCCACTTATGTAAAGTTAAAAAACATGCAAGACTAATATATTGTTCAGAAATAAGAATATAGGTCATAAAATAATAAAGAAAAACAGAAGATTTGATAAACAGAAAACTCAGGTTCTAAGAGAATAGGGAAGTAGATGAGAGTGGTGATGGGCAGGTAGAGAAATTCTGTGATGGGTAATGGGAATATTTGATCTTTCAAACAGAGATAGAGTAGGTGAATGTATGAAGTATATGTATATATTCATTTATATTCATTTAACAGTGAAGAAATATGAAAATACATCTCTCTTGGTAATCTTTATTGACCTCATGGTGTTCACCACAATTCTGGAAGTGGGAAATGTGCCGTTTGAATCCCAGCTCATAGACCAGTCCATGCTTCACCCTTGTTCTCATCTTTTAGTCCTATTTCCTTTTCGTAGCCTCCACTCTCCCTTATCAACATAAAAACACATCCTTTGAGGAGTACTTGGGCATTAGCAGGAAAAAATGCTAGGAAAGTACTTAAAAATTAACTTAACCTTTCTCTCCAAGTGTTTGTTTTGCATTATGTTTATTTTTGAGGCTTTCATTAGTGGTTTAGTGGATCCTTGATAGAAACTGGCCAGCCAGCACTTGAAAATACACACTAGGGTGGAGGCTTTTGATTTCTTGGCCCCAAGATGTACTCCTTAGCACCATAAGGGTCTTCTTTAGTATATGGCTTCAATAGATTAGGTCTACATGGTAAATAGGGGAGTGAGAAAAAATCAGTTATATTACTAGGAATGTTCTAAGGAAATGTAGGTTATCCTACAAAGGAAATGCAGGTTATCACTAAATATCCCTGTTTCATAGATAAGGAAATACAGGGTGTTAGAAGACATAAAGGTGCTATCCTGGATAATGAGTGGACAGGGAATGTATATCAAGATGTGCTGACAGCAGATATCTGCCTCTTAAAGAGGGTCAATATACACCATCCAATTTTATGTCTTCCAAATCGTTCCCTCCTCCTGACCCTCCAACGTATGTGAAACAGGAGAGTCTTCCGGTTTTCTCTGCACCCAGAGCAGCTCTCTGCCACAGCCCCTCACCCGCTGAAAATCTATGCTTGCTCCAAGTTTGCCTCCACTCCCTCCTTGGTCAAGAGTGCCTCACAGCTGATGAGTTGTCCACTATCCTCAGTGGTGCTGAAACAACCAGAGACACTGACAGATGAGAGTCTCAGCAGCTTGGCAGTCTCATGTCCCCTTACCTCACTTGTCCTTAGCCACAGCTTCCAAACCAGCACCATTTCAAGGGACATCAACACAGCAGCCAAGTTCATTGGGGCTGGGGCTGGGGCTGCTGTAGTTGGAGTGGCCGGCTCTGGGGCTGGGACTGTGTTTGAGAGACTCATCATTGGTTATGCCAGGAGCACTTCTCTGAAGCAGCAGCTGTTCTCCTACACCCTTCTGGGCTTTGCCTTCTGGGAGGCCTTGGAGCTCTTCTGCCTGATGGTGGCCTTTCTCATCCTCTTCACCTTGTGAAGGAGCTGCGTCCACCTCCCATAGTTCTTTCTCCCATATCTGGTGGACCCTGTGTGTTCCTTTTCCTATACCTCCCAGGGTAGCCTGGGGAACATGGTTGGCTCAGGGTTTGACAGAGAAAAGACAAATAAATACTGTATTAATAAGAAAAAAAAGTACATGGGAGAACGAGGAGAGCATGTACCACTGCTTGGGTACTCAGTGACATACGGGTGCAGTTAGCGGTAAACAGGAAACAGCAGTGGTGCCAGGGGAGTGGCAGAAAGTGGTAGAAATTATTACCAAGAGTGAGAAGGGGATTGTGGACCCACCACTTTTCTTTGGACATCTCGATCTAGGAGTACGATATTCAAATGCAAAGGAAGAGCGCAGAAACAGCCGAGGAAGAATTGAATCCCAAGGAAGGTATGGAGCATATCAGAGAGAACCTTGATGCCCAAAAGAGTCGAGGTCCCCAGGTTCAGTAAGTCACTGGAGTTCTGCCAGGATTTGTGTTGGTGCTTACAAAGCTATTTTCCTACATCTAGGACCAAAAATATCCACTACCTACACACCCAAGAAGTGGGAGAACTGCTTTACTAGAAGTTCACTGGAAAATATTAGGTGTTTTTAGTTGAGTGCAAGCTGAAAACAAATCAGGCTTAATAAGGAACACTGGAATGACTCATTGTCTTACAATGTGCTGATACAAGTGTGACGCTGAGTGGAAGAAAGTTCAGTGCCACTCTGTTGATTTTTGGCATATTAAGAGAAACATTCATAAGCTCTAGTGTGTTAAAAGGAGATTAAACAGATTGCTGGGAGGACTGGAGACAATGCCACAAGAGGAATTAAAGTGCTGGCTGTGTTTATAAGCATGGAAAAAGATAAGCCTTAGCCACGAGGAAGGAGCCCAGTAGCTGTCTTCCAGCATTTCAAGCATTGCAAAGTACAAGAGTAATGAGAGTTATTCTGCATAGATTCAGAGGGCAGAACCAAGAACAATGCTTAGAAGTTAAAGGGAAGAAAATTCCATTCAATATAAGAAATCTGACAATCTTAGATTTATATAATGTTGCGTAATCCACAAATACACTCATGTGCATCATCTCACTTTAGGAAGAACTGAACAATTGATGACAGAGTGAGCTGCCAGGCATGTTTAAGCATAGACTAATGACATCACACTAGACTAGATGAACTTGAAGATTGTTTCCAACTCAGACTGTGAATCAGCCTCGAGGTGCTTCCAAGTCAGCTTCTAAACCAAGAGGAAACAGAGAACAAATGCAGTGACACCTGCATCACTTCATCCTTGTCTGTGTCTGTTTATACTTTTCAAAAAAAAAAAAGTGAAAAGATAAGCTTGTCCTTACCACATGGGGAAATGGTTGAGTTAGACATCTCCTCCTTTAAGATATTCAAGGGGGTCGGGCACGGTGGCTTATGCCTGTAATCCCAGCACTTTGGGAGGCTGAGATGGGTAGATCACGAGATCAGGAGTTTGAGACCAGCCTGACCAACATGGTGAAACCCTGTCTCTAATAAAAATACAAAAATTAGCTGGGCGTGGTGGCGCATGCCTGTAATCCCAGCTACTCAGGAGGCTGAGGCAGGAGAATCACTTGAACCCAGGAGGTGGAGGTTCAGTGAGCTGAGATTGAGTCACTGCACTCCAACCTGGGTGACAGAGTGAGACTCTGTCTCAAAAAAAAAAAAAAAAAAAAAAAAATTCAAGGGGATATCAGCTGCCTCTCTTCCTAGGGAATTCTGTACACTGGGTAAGAAGATGGACCACATGCCCCGAGGTTCCCGCTAATATCAAGATTCTGTGAAAGCTATATTTCTTACTTGGCTCTACTACTTTTTACACGGGCTTTGAGAAAGTCTTTTTCACTCTCTGGACCTCAATTATCTTTCCTATTACAGGAGCATATCGGACTCTGTGACCTTTAAGATTTTTAGAGAACTCATATTCTAAAATATAAGATTTTATAAAGAATATGTGGAAGCTTAATTCTTCCACATTCTATAAAAAATATCCTGAGTTCTGGTCCTAGTGAGATTACGGTGGCAGTGTAGTTTTTCAGTCTTTTCAAAACTGCTCCAGAAAACCAAATAGAAAATTAAGAATAGTGTAAAAATATGCATAGATTGTGTATTTTAAATACTAGGTGATAGAGTATTGGTGAGTATAGTCAAAACCACATATGACAATGGCATCTAAAGGCAATCCACTGTGGAGAGGTGGCAGTAATAGAGCAGGGTAGAAACACTGGAATTCAGATAGTGCAAGGTGGCAGAAACAGGAAAAGAGAGTGGTGGGCTCAGTACAAACCTTTGACAAGCCCTGTAAGCTATAGAACCCAAGATCACCCACTTGGGTGATATAAAGACTCACCCTCAAAAGAAGGCCTCACCTGGAATAAAAATCTCTGTGGACAAGCCTGCGAATAACTGAAACTACAAGTTCTGATATGTTCAGAGTTGCAAGTGAAAGCGGAGCCTGTACATGGCATCACACCCGACAATGAGACAGTAGAGCAAACCCTTGATGATCACCAAAATATCCAACTCATATCCCTTTCCAAAAATGTAGTCTCATCCTGAGGGGAAAACTGCCAGAAGCAGACACACTGAGCTGGGAAATGACTCTGGACAGTTGAGATGGTAGATAGTGTGGGGAGGAGATTGTGGGCCCAGAGGAATCCGATCCCGGGAAGTCGTGTAACAACAAAATGCCTCATCTACAGGGGAGAGCTCTAGGAAACACAGGACTGAAGGCAGCAAACCGTCTTGGCCAGGCTTTGGACTGAGAGATGGATCGGATGATGTATTTTGAGTCCTTCTTAGTAACAAGGAAAGATAAAGCTAAGAGAATGACCCTAGTGCGTTCCCTGGACTCCAATGATGAGGAACTGTCACCTAATAGTCTAGAAAAAGCCATTTCATTTAAACAGGGGACACACAGAAAAAAAATACAAAGTTATTATTAAAAAGATGATAACAAATAAATAACACCGGAAAAAGTGAAAACAAAGCAGATGAAAACTGTAACATGCTGATTCAGAAAAACACTCAAATCACATTTTTTTCCTTTGTTCTCATACCACAGCAATGAACACAGAAGCCTTCTGTGACCACAGACTTTTGGGAGGGGTTCCCCACCAACAAACAGTGGACACCAACTAATTCAATTCAAATTCACCTCAAATTCGCCTTTAGTTCAATTCCCACACTAGTTACCTGGAGATAGCATTAGATCCCATAGGCTGAGGGCTCAGTCCCCAAGACTGCCGGCACCAACACACCCTTGTGGCAGATACTCCTTGCTGCAAATCTGAGCCTCTGGAACTTCTGACCTACTGGCTTCAAGTCGGGGTTCCGCGACCCCCTCTGGTTTGATTACTTTGCTGAAGCAGTTCAGGGAAACACTTGAGATTACCAGTTTATTATAAAGTATATTACAAAGCATACAGATGAAGAGACACATAGGGCAAGGCATGGGGGAAGGGATGTGGAGATTCTACGTCTTCCCTGACACAGCACCCTCCAGGAACCTCCTCCACGTGTCAGCCATCTGGAAGCTCTCTCAGCCCTGTCCTTTTGGGTTTTTACAGTAGCTTCTTTACATAAGCATGATTGACAACCATTCAGAAATGTGATTGGGCAAAAAGTGCATGATCTAGACTCAGCAAGGCCTGCCTGCTGAGACGTTTTTGTTTTTGGCCTATCTGTGCAGCATCCCCTCCTCTAGGGTGGTGGGGCAGGACACACTCTGAATGAGAGTCTTTTAGCCCATAATCAGATTAGAGTCCTGCCTTGGGCAGGGGAGAGGAGGATGGGAGGTCAAAGAGAGAGATTCTGTTTCCTGACGTCTGCTTCAAAGACATGAGGCACCCCACATGATAAAGGAAAACTGTAACCAGAGTTATCGAGTCATGATCCAGGAACTGTGGATGAAAACCTGTATATGTGTGTCTACATATAAACTATATAAATCATAATATCACACATGCCATAGCAAAGTGAGAGAAAAGAAATTAAAGAAACAATAGACACTTTGAAAGAATAGTATAAGCCAGAAATAGAAGAAATAGTTAGATAGCCAATGACTATGAACTGAGAACTTACAGAACTCAGGAAAGAGTTATTTTTAAAAATACACTAATAAATAAAGACTAATAAGTAGCAACACATGGGAAAAAAGATACTTAGAGAAATACAGTAAGAAAAATCAAAAGATAGAAAAGGAAAAATGAAGGAAATCAAACAGAAATAAAGAAAAAGATAAAAATGATTTGAGACAAGATGAAAGATGAGAAGACAAGCAAAGATAAAGAAATAATGAAAAAAAGGAGGATCTAACAAAACAGTTCCTAATGAAGAAAAATGAAAATTCAATTATAAATCAGGAAGAGTTTGCTGAAATAGAAGACATTTTAAGATTTACATATTTATTTTAAGTGGAAAAATCAACCCATAACAGTTATCACCAGGGAAATCCTAATAAAATAACTGGACTTTAAAAGTTAAAAACAAACAGACAAAAAAACCTCTGAAAATTCAGACAAAAAGACCAAGTGATTTTAAGAGATAGAAAATCATATTTGAATTAGATCTCTCAGTTCACAGCTGTAATCCCAGCACTTTGGGCAGCTGAAGTGGGAGGACCACTTGAGCCTAGGAGTTCGAGGCCATAGTGAGCTATGCTTGTGCCACTGGTCTATCCTGGGTGACACAGTGAGACCCTGTCTCAAAAACAAATGCACACACAAATCAGAATTATTAACAGCAACATCTTCTGTTTAGAAACAAGAGAAATATTTTAAAGAAAATCACGAAAAGAAGATGAAGGTCAAAGGCTGTATGGGTTAGGAGGAAAGAGTCCAGCATTGTGAACTGCAAGATCTCATGGAATGTTACTCTCATGAGCTGTTCCTGAGACATTTACTGGAGAAGGAGCAATAAGTGATTCTAGAAAATTCAGTACAAGTTCTCAGAGATAAGTGTGAATGCATTTCAATATAGAACAACAACTTGAAATTGGAGATACAAATTTAAAAAGTGTACTGATG